CATTCTTTAACATGTTCCTCGACGACCTCCAAATTTACTCACAGGCACCCATTCGTGACTTACACGTAGCAGTGTGTTCCATCAACACTGAACTCTCTCGCATATCCGAATGGAGTCGCTCTTATGGTCTCACGGTGAACCCTAAAAAGATTCAGGTAATTGTGGTGGGTAGCTTGGTTCATATCTAGAGTTAATTTTGATCAACTACCTCCAGTTATGTTTGATGGCGTCCATATGCCATACAGCGATACTGTTAAAAATCTCGGCGTGGTATTTGATAGGACTTTATCCTGGAAGCCACATGTTGCTGCCGTGAGTAGAAAGGTGTTTGCAGCGTATCACTCCTTAAGACGACTGCGGAATGTCTTACCGACCAGCAAAAAATCTCGCTTGTACAGACCCTACTTCTACCTATCCTTGATTACGCTGATACATCTAATCCCGACCTTACAGAAGAGATGCTTAGTAAACTCGAGCGCCTCCAAAACCTTTCTATTAGATTTATCTTCAATCTACGCAAGTACGACCAAGTCTCTTCTTATCGTGCTCAGTTAAATTGGCTCCTGATTCGTCGTCGAAGGGATTTTCACTCTATTTTCAGATTTCTCTCCCTACTTTATTCTATCCTATTTAACCCTTCGACTCCTTCGTCGTATCTAAAAGAAAGTTTTGAATATCAGTCCATTTCTATTGATCGTTCACTCCGTTCTTCTCGTTATCGCTCGCTTTCTATGCCTTCTCATACCAAAAATTTCTATGCCTTTTCTTTTACTGTCCAAGCTGTGAAGCTCTGGAATTCACTCCCTGTGTCTATAAGACAAGCCCCGTCCCTTTACTATTTTAAGAAGCACCTGAAAGCTCATCTTATTTCCCTTCCTGTTTAATTTCATCGCAACGTTCCTTTTTCCTCTGAGCTTTGGTTGTCAGTTTTTGCTACTTTCACGCTTATTAATAAGTACTTGTTAATATCTATATATATGTATGTGTATGTATGTATATATGTATATATATTATAGTATTAGTATTTATATTAGGTATTTGTTATTATATAGATATGTATTACATTTGATGATTTTATTTTTCTACATATGTATTAATTTAATTATTTTTACACCATTATCCCGCAACTTTATTATCTATATCCTATACCCTAAGGTTGCCTGGAAGAAATTGCTACCTTAGCAATAAGGCCGCCTGTTTGTACACTATGTTTCTGGTATCTTCTTCCTTGTATTTCCTTGTGTGCAATAAAAGTATATTCATTTATTCATTCAAACATTACTAAAAGATAACATTATCTGAGCAACTGTTGAGTTTCTTGCCGGTCTCTTCTCAACAGAAACTGCTTACCGAACCGGTGGTACCTTACGAACCTATACATATATATAATTTTATGTAACATATGACGATTCATAAGAACGTGCAAGCGTCTATTTGAATAAATATATTTTTCATTTGATTTGATAATAAAGATATACTGTATGCATAAATCACACACAATCACTGGCACTGTGGTTTGTGTTTCAAAAATCATGGACCAAGATGTCGTCCAGAACAATTTTCAACGCGGAGTCTCAGACGGTTCAAACTTGGCAAACATGGTGGTGTTCCCCAAACCATGGAACATTCGACGTCATGCCCTTCGTTGTTTACGAAATTTGAAATGAAAGAACCAGCAATCTAAAATTTACCCGAAAATTAATATTGATTTTAAAAAAAAGGAGAAAATTGTTCTACCGGTGCATGACAGTAGTTTTAAACTCTAAAAGCTAATTATAGTCACATAAACATACACAAGCTTGTATATCAAGAACATAAAAATTAAGAAAAACGTCGCTAGAAGTCCATGTGTAAACGCTCGAAGTAAATTAAACTTGTCGACTTCCCGTCTTCGTCCTTAACTAATAAAAAGGTCGCTTCTGTGTCCGTATTATGGTATTTTTCCTGTGAACCGACCTGAATGGAGGCCGCCTAATAAGCCTTGAATTCGAATTTTAAATTAAGCCAACGATGTAATGTAACTTTGGGAATTCTGTGGGTAAAAATGTGTGTAAATACGAAAAGAGTTTTACGCTCGTGAATGTAAAATAACACAATAGTCTTTACTCAAAAATGAGTAGGTACCTGGCGTACGGGTTATAAAGGGTCTGTGTGTGTTTGGATTGTTACATATATTCTGACTCTCATTTAGCTACAAAAGCATTATATTTCCCTGTATAGCAAAGTAAGAAACTGGCTGATCTATCTAACAATACAAATCCTAATCCTAACTGCTTAAGACACTAACTAGCTTAAACTTCAAAGTTGAACATTTAATTTTCGACACCTATTGAAAGCAACTGTTTATGTTTTTTAGGGATTGAACCTTAAAGGCGTAGGTGTTGCCAGTAACTATAGAAATTGACCAAGCGGTATTTATATTTTATGTTTCGTCTCGTGCGTGAGGTACGCAGCCTATCTGTCGTATATTTCCATGCGCAGCTGTAATCACTTAACATAACATGAAAAAGAAAAGTCAGGTTTCAAATAAAATTCAATCTTATCAATGTTTAGACCATATGTTTCTGAGGTTGTCGCTTCGATCTCAGTTCACGGGTTCAAGTCTTAGTTGACCTACAACCTTATGTGCAAGAACCATCGTCTCGGAAGTGTAAATGTATATTATGATGATAGGTACCCCGCTATTGTAAATATAATGTCTAAATTCTAGAGCATTAGACAGTTACTAACAAATAAATTAGTTTTTTCTTTCTATTGCTCGATGACGCCATCTTGGGTCATGCTGTGCCTACCAATAAAACCATTATGTACCATCTTATTTATAAACAAAACAGTTTCACAGTAAAATAAAAGTTTTTAATGTCGTTATCATGGCAGTGCCAAAGCGTTCCTTTGCAGATATTATGTGCAATTCTCAAGTGTTTGGATGCATTGCGAACTGTACAACAAACAAAAGGGTTAAATATTTTTAAATGATCTTTTATACATAACGCATTAGTTTCATCTCACTCAGTTGAGAGAATTGTTTTATTCACACCAATGGCTTACAGCCGAATATAACATAACATATAAGACTAATAGCTGGAAAACGATTTTAGCATATAAGAAGAATTACTAAGTTATAGTATTTTTCTAGTATAAGTATGTATACAGCGTGTCGTTACCATCGCGACAATAAATGAACACACGTCTAACGCTACTTGCCAATAATCATAAAAAATATTAACGTTAAACAAAATCCATAATTAAAAAAAATATTTTTCAAACAAACTAATTAAGTAAAAAAGAAACAAAATTTGAAACACCCTATACAACTCGCGCCACAGCGTCGTATTACAAGCCTCTCCTTCTAACAGTATGTTTTGTCTCTTTTAAATTCATTCAACCCATTCATATGCTTTGTGACCTTTACAAATGAACTTTACGTTACGCTTTTATAGGTAAGGGTGTTCTAAAATTCTTTGTTTTGGAAAATTTAATGACTGTAAATATTGATTTTTAAAGAATTTAAATGTTAAATTTAAAAGTTATCCCCTATATGTGTGTTCATTTATTGTCGCGATGGTAACGACACGCTGTATATAATATATATAGTGTTTCGAAAGTTATTCGCTTAACCTATGAATTTTTAACAGCTATAAATTTTAACAGCAGTGTTCTATGTATTGCGAGTTGACCCTGTTTTAGGAACAATGTGAGTTCTCGAGATGGCTAGAGATGCGTAATCACCATAATTGGTTCCGTCAACTCAACTCGATGAAGACGAGAATCAGTCAACCCTTTGAGACTTGTAATTTTAATAAATTGTGTAAGCTCTTTATTTTAGCTCTGCTATTAAGTACAGTATATATGCTATTTCCACTTAATATTTGAGTAAAACCAGTTCAGCAGTTACGGCGAGAGACCCGTTTCATAAAACACCTTACAGACTTCCTTTTTTATGAGTACGGCTGTCCCTCATACAAAGACAAAAGCCTGTTTATGGAAAAAAATTAAAATTAAAATAAAAAAAATAAAATAAAAATTGGGCTTGACATTTGCCTGCATTTTATACACTCAGTACAATATGTAATGAGGAATCAGAAGCAATTGCTGGAACTTGGTGGGAGCCAATATATTTTTTTTATTATAGTTGAATTCACCAAGCGTGAATTACCAAGCAGTTGGCCTAACTTCTGGTGTTAATTGTAATATTGTAGTATTTAATTCTCCTTATCGGGCTTAGTTTTTTGATACCTAGAATATATAAAAATATATAGAAAAACATTCTATTAATAATTGAAATCCTTCTATGTATCCTCAATTCTATTTATAAAGTGATGAGGAAACATGTATGAATTGACAAACGACACAAATTAAATATATTTAAATGTTAATGAATGCTTTAAAAAAGAACAAGCGAAATTTATCTCTAAGCGGAAACTAAAACGTGGATACGTTTAAACAAAAGAATAATAAATAATCATGTGCCACGATGTAAAATCACGAGTCGAATACAATTTATATTTTAAACATTCAAACGTTTGACAATTACCGTTTCCAAAACTATTTGAATATTACAAATGCGATACTAAAAAGTCGGGAAAGAGAACCGATCGATATCGTGCCATCTTGCTCACTCCCGCACGTTTCCGAGCAATTCAATTCGACACCATCCTTATCTAACAATCCGGAACAACACGATGCGAACTAGTGGAGACTTGGCGAGCTAAGCTGATAGCCCTTGTTTATTTTTGTCCGACCACTCGTGTGCGTTACTAGTTCGGTGTGTGAGTGCAAAATTAAATTTTAAAAAAAGTTTAATAAAATTTAAAAATTAAGTTAACGTTCGAATTTCGAAGATTTGTTGCATTACCACCGCGAGGCGCATGCGTGAATTGGTACAAATCCTCGTCGATCGAGCGTCAGTGGAACACGTGTGCGTGAAAAAAAAAAACACAAAGCCAACCTAGTGATGCTTTCTTGATGAAAAAGCTCTCCCGTTGAAAGTGTATCTTAACATGGCGAAGGACATCGGTGGCGAGACTATCGACCTTGACGCTATTTTGCAACAGCTGGGCCCGTTCGGGAGATATAACGTCGTGAATTATGCACTGCTACTGTTCCCAATTTATTTGGCGGGAATGTACGGTTCGGTTTTCGTTTTCGAAGCCCCCGACTTAAACTACAGGTGAGTGCATTCCCCGTAACTGTTTGCAATGTTTAAAAGGCTCATGTAGTTAAAAATCGGTGAACGCAAATGGATTGAATGATATCAACTGGAGACGGGGCGTTTTAATTACTAATTAATGTCTATGAAGATTAAAACACTAATGACATTTTAAAAACAGCTCTTAAAAATGAAAAACGGGTATGAATACTTGCATTAGTTGTTACTTTATTACGCGAGGCTAAGGCGCCTGCGTTGTTTTTTCGCTCGCGGCTAATTCGTTAGTTCTCCCCCGAGGGCCCTGAGCTGAGCTACTAATACCCCACTGAAGTCCTTTTGTAACTTCGCTGATTACAAAGATGCTAATAGATACAATAGGGAATTCGGTTACGTAATTATTGGGACAAATACTAGTATTACTGGCGAGGCTATTTAAATACTTCAGGGGTTCGAACGGACTACCAACAACAATGTGAATAGTGTTCTCGTATCCATGGCATTTTATTTTCAGACAAATTATTTAATTAAGACATCGTCATTCTATAAATTATAGTTAAATATTAATAATGTTGATAACTCCTCGACGTGTGTATCATCACAAATTGATTTTTTCTGGATACAAACATCCAGAAATTATCAAAATTGCAATATTTCAAGTTCCTCCTATCTAATCTGAATTCTGTTTTATACGAGATGTTGGCATTTTTTTGATTATTAGATCACTGGTACCTCTGAAAATTCTGAATACCATAGTTGCAAATACATTTTTTGGTCTTTAGAAAAGGTTTCTATATTTAATTGATCTGAGATTACTTTGATGAATTCAGTTGTTTTGACGACTACGTGGCGCAGTGTCCAAGCTCACTCGTATTTGCTTCGGTGCTAGAGTTGGTGGGTTCAATTTCCACACAGAACATATTTTTGTTTGACCCACAGATAATTGTTTCGGGTCTGGTTGTTTGTCCACGTGAAATTTATATTTGTAAAACGTCCATACAACTTACAACACAAGATGATGTCATCCTACAGGCTATCTTTAAAAAAAATATCATAAATAGAATGGCAACAATTGTTTTTGGCAAGAGGTTGGACGGGTAAAAACTATAACTAGAATATATTCCGTGCTTGACTCCGACAGCTCTTGATGGCAAAAAGAATATCAACAATCTTTTATCGAAAAGTCTTAAGGTGAGTATAGACTACAACATTTTCTGGAGCATTTCTGTGTAATGTAACGTTCTTACGAATGGTACAATACACGCAAAAGCTCAGTTTCCAAAGCATTTCCATGTAATGTAACGTTAACGTGCGAATGCTCGGCGTTATGTTACGGGTAAATACTCACAGCGAGTGTGCATTTACCAACATTTCGTTGTACCTTGCGTTCATTCTTTTTTGAAATGTCGGACCTACAAGTTGCGAGTGCTGCGTTTATCTTGATGAATTATATTAGAAAAAAAAAAGAAAAATAGAAATCGCATCCGTGCATCGCCCGCACTCGTGGCACGACGAAATGTTACACCAATATGCAATATGGTTTGTAACAAAGAGGCGAACGTGCTCGACGTTTAGTTTGTGAAAGGATGATACACTAGAACATATCATAGAGCGGCTCGTTGTTCTGTTACAAGTAAATGTTGTATACTCACCTTTATATAACACCTCTTATAACAAAAGTCTTATATAACACCTCGTTATATCGAATATATGTCAACTTCCTTGATAATGTCACTTATTAAAATTTTAAGAAGGTTTAACCACATTTTGTACGTTGACGTATTTAAAAATCATAATAAAATGTCTGTTAACACGACTGTGTCAACGTCGTTTAAATATTAATAGACGCATAGTCCAATAACGTTAAATAAGCAAAGTGTATGAACTAATACAACAAGTTTGGTCTAACTTTACCGCTTAAGTGACTTCGCTGGATAGCGAAGACATACGCCGAATGGTTGGTATATCGATAGTTTTGGGAAGTATATATAGTTCAGGATTATTACGTTCTACAAGTTCTCGACCTACGATAAGTCAAACTTACAACACTATCTCCACTGAGGTCCTTTAATAAACGGCAATATAACTTATGTTGACATAATGTTGACATGTTATCGACATTCGATTAACATTGTGCACAACTCTATCCAATTGAGGGTGCTCTAATGTCCCGTTCATTCGACTCATCTCAATCCACTTTTTGCGAGAGCCTAATTGGGCGACGGGACATATCAAGAGCCCTTAACGGTCTTAGTTATCGTGCCATATCGAGTTCAGATACATCTGGCTTCAAAAACCGTTACGATTTTAACATGAAAATACGTGAATCCGCTTACCCAATACAAGAAACGATTGACATTTAATGATTTTTTTCGATGCAGGATGATGGTGCCGCGTTTATTTATAGATTTTTCTGTTTATTTATAAATACACATTTTTTGGCAGTATGCGAACCCGGGCAGTTACTTATTAATCAAAATAACGATTAATTAATTAAAATAAAATTAATTCGAGTAACTTCCAAACAGGGCAATTTACAGTCAGGCAAATTAAAGTCCAACTCAAAATAATACCGCAGGCTCCTATAGCCAACCGAGATCATTGTGCAGTGGTGGGACATTATTTTAGGCAAACTTTTCTAATGCTGTGTGCATTAGAAAAGTTTGCCTAAAATAAATACGTATATGGTTAAAACATTTCATTTTAATAACAAACATACAGACATATCTCACTGTTGATGTCGTCCGATAACATCAACTCTTATCTCAACGTATAACTACCGTTGAATCCGCTGACAATGAACTCATGATTTACAACTAGTTCATTGTTTAATTTTATCAATAGAATCTTGCGTGTGTAAATAGTGTAAATAGTGTAAATATTTGCGCAAAAACAAGTCGCATGGCTGGTCTTAATTAGCTAATGTTAATATAACAGAATTAATATCAAACCGGGAGCTGTTAGCTGCTGAGATATGAGCTTTAATATTTTCTTGGTAGGGCCACGCAACAGCTTCGGCTGTTGCACGATTGGGCAGGTCCGTCCGGATAAGTACCACGACCTCACAGAAGACCGTGTCATACTTCTGCGTTTCGTCGGGTGAGTGAGGTAGCCGGAGCCCACTTTATAAAAGGTGACAATGCATATGCCACCTATTAGCGAAGGTTATCAATAAACATCCGTTGAACTGACACGTGCTAGCCACCTTCTCAGATAAAACAAATGAATACTTATATAAAATCTGGTAAATAATCATTTTTTGCTTTTAACATGGTATCACAAGAGGTGTTACAAATCATCATATTAAGCTTATTTTTATATAGCATGCAAAATATTAACTGTGTCATATTTCCCTATATATATATATATATAGGGAAATATGATACAGTTAAGATTGATTATTGAGATTATTATATGCCTATTATATTAGGCAAAATGATGGCCAGTCTTGTGACCGCGTTCGCTCAGCCTCTTGGAAAGGATGGGGGAAGATCGTGCCATAAAGAGAGCATATATGGGGCACCCAAAAGGTAAGCGTCCTTTCGTCCTAGATATTGATAGAAAGTTCACAAAGATCTGATCGCTCTCCAATCAGGCAACTAAGCAAGAAACAGCCCAGAATAGAGAGCAGTGGTGTCTTTTAGTGTCTAAGGTAAAGATCCTCTTTGGGTCGCTGAGCCAGCGAAGTAAGTACTTATCATTAAAAAAAAGTTTACAAGATCGCAGAGTTTTATGTCATTCAATTCAATAGAGTTTAAAAAAGTCTGTATGAAAATAGACTTATTATCATCATTGACCACAATTAACCGTTACAAGTTGTGTAAAAGCAAATTGTTACTTTACAATATTGATTATACATTTTGCAACAGAAACCAATTATCTAGAATAATATTGCAATGTGTCTCCAAACAAAGCAGAAATAGAAACGGAAAGCTTGCAAGAGAATGCAAATGTATGGTAATACTAGCCTAGAGGCGAAAGCGACTCGATACAACAGCAGTAGTACTTTGAATCTTGTCACATTGAGACAAAGTGCAAACTTTATTGACTATTAGTATGGACTTTGTAACTGTTTCTAATGTCAACGCATTCTAGTCTGAGTGTATACGTCTACGAATATATCTCGACCGTAGAATATTCATCACGGTTCACCACGCCGCATCCAAAATTCAGCTGCATTCGTATAGAAAAGATCATTTGAGGTAGGGGTGTAAAATCGATTCATTGTTCCAAATTTAATGCACCGAAAACTTATATGTTTTAAGACTTACAACATGCAAAACTCAATAGGGCATTTTTGCCCAATGTACGTTGACATTGTGGGCAATTTAAATCTACCTGGAGGACCTTTTTTGGTAAATCATATATTTTGGAAATTACATTTTGATACAAATCACTGAGTAATGAAATATGCATAAATCTTAAGTATAATCTGTTTTTTTTAGAATTGCTCGTTTAAAGGATAAACGTCTAAACGACCATTAACTGTAGACGTCTGACGCAGACTGAGAAAGCACATGATCAAATTTAGAATTAAGTGATTAATTTTATTACGAAAAAACCGGCCAAGTGCGTGTCGTACTCGCGCACCATTCCGTAAAAACGGAAAAAAATCGACATGATTTTGTTGTTCTTGATGTTGTACGGGACTATTACCCCACTTAAATATTTTTTTATTCTGTTTTTTAGTATTTGTTGTTATACCGGCAATAGAAATACCATCATCTGTGATAATTTTCATTGTATAACTACCCTGGTTCATTAGATTCAGTCTGGTGACAGACGAACAGATAGACAGAAAGACAGCGGAGTCTTCGTAAAGGGTCCCGTTTTCATATTGAAATGTATAACAGCACCTGATCAAAGGTATGCTGTTCGCAATACGCAAATACGCAAATATATGCTGAAATTTTTGTCGCTTGTGTATATTTAGTGACGCACGAAATTATTTAACGTCAGCAATTGAATAAACACTTCAATTACTGACGATAAATAAATATTTCTGACGTTAATTCATATTTTTCTTATATCTCATATAAGTATGTACCTGATTGTAACTGATTTTAATGATATTAATAATTCTGAAATTATTCCAACTGGAGCTTGGATGTTCAGAAACTATAACAATGCAGATGAAGACAAAGACAATATAATGGTATTTTTCGTAGATCAGAGATTCCATAGTTGCTAAAATTCGAAATAGCGATCTAAACCCGAATGGAAAAATTGATTAGATTGCATATGATTCAAAATCAGTAAAGAGTTGCACTTAACTATTCAACTTGATTAAGCTTTATCTGCTATCGAGACAATTCGTTTACAATCAAAATTGATATTTTTGGTTGGGCTTTAATTTTAACTATTTAAAAATAATAAGCAATATTTCTCCTAAAAACAAAATTTGAAAAAAAAAATTACATAGTAAAATGCAAGATGATGTATACGGATGTCGAGATTTGTTAGCTGTGTCCTGCGGAGAATTTTTTCGACAATTTATTCAACAAAACAACGACACTATACTTTCAACGTCGTGAATATTTGTATATTGCTAATACAATGTATAATGCTGATACAATTAGATAATGTGTAATTTTAGATAGATTTAATCTTGTAAATATTAGATCAATAAAGATTGTTATTATAATATCATACAATGGGGCTTTATTCATTTTAACTGTGAAGGGCCATGCGTCCGTCAACTACGGCAGGGGGGTTGCACGAATGTGCAATGTATGTATGTCACTGAACTCGTCCTAAACGGTTGGACCGATTTTAATGAATTTTTTGTGGCTCTTCAGGTAGATTCGACAATGGTATTCACAATTCGGTCCACTGTAATGCTTTTTTTGTTGTTGTTGTCGGATTTCAGTCGGGTATACAGGACAAACCTCGGTCCGCTAGTAATATTTGACCACGATTTGTGGATAAAAGTATTGTAGTACAAAGTACATAGTTTCTCAGTTATCGAAATAAGTTAGGTATATTAAATATTTTTTTATGTGTGGTAATTGCCCCATTAACTTACTGCATTCATGGAACAAGAAACTCCATCTCAGGGTCTGAAGCTAAAGCGGTACAAGACTCAAAAAACTATAAATAACATTATCTATGGCTTTACGACTTCTCATTCTTTACTACGTCAAAATATCTGTGCAGTTTTAAGTGGACGCACTTTGCAATGTTCTTTTCCATAATGAAACTAACTGACGTTGTTTTGCGACATAAAATATTTGTAAGATAGAAAAAAAGTTTGGGGTGGACCACCCTTATCACTTAGGGGTGTAAAAATTAGTTATAAAGTAATTCTCATATCAACTGATATACATATAAAATTTCATCAAATTCGGTCAAGCCGTTTCGGAGCAGTATATACACTAAAACTGTGACACAAGAATTTTATACGTTAGTTTACTGCCTGGATAGATATATATCGACATATCCAGGCAGTAAACTAATAATTGAGTTTCATTCTAGACCTTGATTTCATTCACAGTAAATGAAATTCGAATCTGTACCTAGCGCGTCTTAATTGATATAGAAACGGGAATGTTACAAATCCTATTCACTAAGGCGTTAGGTTAGGTTAGGTCTCGGTCTATAGCGGCCGTAAACCAAACGAGGAATTCGTACATGGCATCGTATTCGAGCTTAACCAAACCTTTGTCGAGGCTTTGTGAAATTAATACGGGCGGGCTAACGCTATTCGGCCGACGACGATTTATCGACACATTTCCGCACTAGCATCGAGTAGACTTAGCTTAGGGGTGTACTTTATCTGTATTTCACCCATTGTTTCAGCTTACCCCTATACTCTACATATTTACGATTTGTAAGTACCACGACCTCACAGAAGACCAGCGTAAAGTGGAAGTATGACAAATACTTTCGTTCGTCTGGTGAGTGAGGTAGCCGGAAACCAATTTTCCAAAAGTTTGCCAACGCATCTGTAACCCTCGGGTGTAGCAGATGTCCATGGACGGCGGTATTCACTTAACATCAGGTGACCCGTCTGCTCGTTTGGCAACTTTTCGCGTAAAAAAAAAAGGTTCGTGAAACTCTATGCGAAACACGAGAGAGATTTCATTTACTATTAGATTTTATATACTATTTAGGCAATATTAATAATACAAGGTTAAAAATCTAAACACATAAATTAATTCATATAAAATAATGCACTTCAATAAACAAAGGTTATATATAAATCAAGTAAAAATCAAATCTTTCAAGTATGATTTTATTATTAACACAAACAAAAGGCCTCCTCCATATCCAACACCCTTTAAAAACCTTTGCAGTTTGTTTCTATTAAAGTGACATAACAGTTCGACGACATAATCTGTTTGTATAAATAAAACATACTATTAAAATACAACGATAATAAAGAAAACAATTTTCGAATATGTAAAGAATTACTTAAATTTTATTATAAAATATCGCGAGAAATTGAAATACATGTAACTTTTCTTTACAAATGATTGTCATATATCTTTTAACATTCGCACAAGCTTAGCTAAGTAACGCGGACATAAATAATAAAAAAACGTTATCAGAAACACGTTTAATACATTTTAATATGTATTAAACACCTATCCATTTAATATTTGCCTGCTCATGAATTTAGACCGAAAGAAAATATTCTAATTGCAAGGTTTACAGATTAAAAAGCGTAAGGCGAAGAATTCAAATGAGAAACTCATTAACGTACAACAGTTAGCGAAATTTCAAAAGTTAGGAGACGGGAAAATTGTTAAATATTTACAATCTTCAGGGCGAAACTTGCAATATTGTGCTTTGCCGCCACGCTCAGCTTGTTGACAAATTCGTGAATTATGAATATGCAAAGCAACAAACTGAACATTTTATAGAGAAAACAAATTCGCATAAGGAGAATGTTTTCACGATTAGAACACAGAATATATTATCATCTTCAAATTATATTACCGATGATAATGATATTTTTAAAATAACAATGCAGGACACCCTATACATGTTTGAAAGAGCAAAACGAATCTTTGTCACGTTTAATCGCACTGAATTGGACAAACTCGATCTAGAATGTCAATGAAGTACAAGGTCATCCAAAATCTCGACATCAACGGTTTAAATGACATCACACTATTGGTAAAATTGAAACAAGATTTGCATGAATTCCACTTTTGTTACAGATGCGAGGTCAGCCAATGCGAAGGCTTAAATCACAGCATATGGTTAGAACACGCTATACCTCGTGACAAAGGCGATTTGGCGAAGTGCAAACACTACGAATGGATAGGCAATAATAGTTTAAGCAACGATACGTGCAGTGCAGAATATTTTAATACCTCTGCCGTGAACGAATGCAGCAGATATGTATATAGCGATGAAGATTCAGCTGTAAAAGACGTGAGTACTCTTATTAAATAGCATTTTTAATTCTCCTCTGTAGCACCAATCGTGGGCCGTGGACACAGAAATAATCTTTCGCGAACCAGGTGCAAAATCAGCCTTCGAAACTCTTGTCTTTCTGGTGACACGCGAGATAAGGGTTTGGACAAAATTCCGCGGCAGTGAGATCGTAAAAATGAATAAATAATCACTCATGCCACATTTTACACAATGTTTACATTCATATTATTACGCATACGAGTTTGTTGATTACGGCTTTAATTACATAATAAATTCTTTACTTAAAACTTTTAATTAATGGAATATTACACATTTTGATAAAACTCAGTTACGGTTTTTGTCGTGGTTCATTTTTATTTTACCTTATAGCATAACTTATAGCTAGCCCGAGTTAACATTTACATAGGGTCGCCTAACATCTCAGTTCGGCCCATGAATGCTGTAATGTATTCGACGTCAGATGTATAAAATAAAACTTACATTACATTTAAATCCGTAAGTTAGTTTACTTAAAACGGTTGTGATAGTTCGAGCCTAAAACAAAATCGCTTATCTTGGCAAACTGTTCGCGTGCTCTTTATCTCTGTCGACTTGAGATGTCGACACGGGGCGAAGTCTGCCAGTCGGCAGACCGTCCCACATTTACCGATAACGCCACGCCTCCACCACGTCAATCGCACACACACGCCACGTGGCGTCCGCACGTTCGCACCACGACACAAATTCATTCACGACAGTAGGGCAGTGATTTCGTCAGTGGATAATTCGGGCGAACCTAAATTCGCGACTAACGTGATTTTTCATATCTTTGCCGCACATTTGTAGCCCTCACGCGGCAATAAGTTCGCCACCTGTCACTTTTTGGACTAAATGGGCTCGGTATCGTAATAAACGAATGAATTTGGGTGGTTTTTGTTTTTCTGTTATTTGTATTAAATAAATTGTGGCCGTAGTAAAATATCCCCATCGTTTAGTTCGTAGGTCTACAATATAATAAGCATACGGCTATCAACTTATTTATCGCTTTAAATTAAATCTCCTTACGACTGTAACATTAAATAAGAGATTTTTTTTTATATTTCCTGGAGAAAATCGTAATTGAATTCCATAATACAAGTTGCCATGACTGTTTGATAGTCATTTTTATCCAACGACCGATAACGTCTCTGTCAACTTGGTTCTTATCTCATTTATACTGTACTACACTTATTTCCATCACGTTATAAGCATTAACGATAATAAATGCGCGATGTCTTGCAAACAGCGCGAAATCTTTTGCGCTGATAAACAAAACAAACATTTTCTGTCGAAAATAAACGTTTGTCTATCGTATAGGTATACTGACTTAGCAACTGAGAATTGGATTATAATTTAAAATCGCTATTTAGAATCCCAACGCGAACAAATTATTTAAAAATTAGTTGCACAATCACTCACTCAATATATCGCCCTCGAGCTCATTGCCACTAAATTTTTCTTACTCTAGTTTATGTTTATCAAAATGAAGTACGTTCCTACTCGCACTCCTTTACAAACTGTGGACAGTCTAAATCTTGTTGCAGTTCAACCTTGGTTGTCAGAACTGGAAGAGGACTTTAATTGGGACGATACACAACTCCGGTCTGTTCATATCTCTGCCCCTGACCGGAATCGTCTCGGACAGATATGGGAGGAAGGTGGCCTTATCCATAGCGTCCCTGATGAACGGTGTCTTCGGCTTTATCAGATCTTTCTCCACCAGTTACACCATGATGCTGACATTTGAGTTCCTGGAGGCGGCTCTCGGAGCTGGCGCCTACAGCACCGCGTTTGTTTTGGGTAAAAAGTTATGTTATTTATTGATTAACTAGCGACCCGCCCGGTGCGGGTTACGGGTGAACTGTATTATGCATATAAACCTTCCTCTTGAATCACTCTATCTAGTAAAAAAAACCGCATCAAGATCCGTTGCGTAGTTTTAAAGATCTAAGCATACAGGATAGGGACAGACAGACAGCGGGACGACTTTGTTTTATACTATGTAGTGATTTAGCTATTACCCTCATTAGCTTTATTTTTCTGTACTTACAGTACTTGTTAATTGATACTTGTTTGTTTCATTTGGCTCATGTAATTTATAACCTTAAACAATAATGTAACGTAACTAACATACTAGAATGAAACAAAACAAAATTTAATTTAAGAAATATAAAATAAAAATTTTACTATATTTTTTTGTTGGCATCTAAATATTTTTAATACTATCACCTCTTAGAGAAATGCTATTAGAACAGAAAACATGTTACGTTTATAACATCAATGACCTATGTTCTATCTTGTCATTGCCAATACTCACAAACAGGAGTGACTATAATCACAATGGCGACACTTCAAACAATTCTAACGGCGAACGGACAATGTAAACAAAAACCTACAATAATTACTATCAATGTAACGCGCCTGTCAAACACAAACCGGTCTCCGTTCAATCTGTGTAGAGGTTTACCTACGACCCGAATCTTTTCACTAATTACGTCGCCCTACAAAGGGGCCCCATTAATTATCCCAGCGACAAAGTAATTGTTAGTGTTTATTCGGGCCCATTGTCCTTGAGATTCTCAAATTTTTCGGTACGCTATTATTAAAATGTATTTATTCTCCGTAGGTAATTTCACGTCGAATTATTCGTTGATCCCTCTAGAAAATTACAGAAATTTTAGCACAAAATTCGTAATAATATTTTCTCCCCTTTTTTTCCCTTTTTTCTGCTTTCGCTGTCCTGCACAGATATTTAAACGGGGCTTTGAAATTTGAGCCTTCACAACTTTATTAAAATAAAAATCACATGTAAAATTACTCAATTATGAAAACTAATTCACGAAATGGCTTTAGCAGGCCTGGTCGTGACCAGGCCTGCTAAAGCCGTCCCAAAAAAACATGCTCATGCTACACGTAGCATGAGCATGTTTTTCGGGATATCACTGGAAGGAAGCTTTTACTCGGTTACCACTAAAGGACAATGGCAGGTTCCCATACAGGACTTTAGTTGGGATAAAATTTTAGCGTTTAGAGGTCAAAAATATCTGAAAATATTCATTACTCTCTCTTAGGCAACTTTATATTAACAATTTCAACTGGAGAAAGTCTAAAAATAAAGATATTACATTTTCAATATTTTTATTTTGAGGTTATACTGTGCGGCGTTTAAAGATTGTTACGCTTTACATTATTTGACATATGTAAGCGAATGTGACAGATGAAATAGAACGTATGATACGGAAAGAGATAGCAGTCTATAAAGTTGCAATGTATTTACACAAATTGGCGTTATTTGAATGCCTCAGTTTCCGTGCGCTAGTGCCATTTATTTTTATGTATAATATATATTTTTTTTATGTGAAAGGTTGCCAAGCAAGCAGACGGTTCACCTGATGTTAAGTGAATACCGCCGCCCATGGACATCTGCTACACTCGAGGGTTGCAGATGCGTTGACAACCTTTTGAAAATCTTTCTGTCATCTTTATATCAATCTTTTGGGCTTATATCAATGCATTTGACATTTATAACAGCATATCTGTGGCTGTGGCTCTTGTATTGTGCCCCAGGGCAGGATAACAAAATAGTTTACTTACACATATGTTGCAGTTGATACACAGGATTCGTGTCGCTATTTTAACAATATTAAACAAACTAACAACTAATCGAAATATTAAAGCACATCCAATAGTCCAACAGCTTAAGGTCGCCGTGCAAGCAATCAATCGAAGTCCTTGGGTATGCACAAATGGCAATACGTAGCGAAGCAAAATCTGACTCCGATATGCAGTATGGATTGTATAAAAATAAGAAAATCACATTTATTTTATTCTTATTTCTTATTCTTATTATTACTTATCTCATTCTTATTACACAAGGCAAAAATGCAGTGAATATTGAATAATAAATGACAGATTGCTGCAAATTAACATGTCAATGTCAAAAGCAGGATTGGATTTAGGTATGATGAAAAAGATAGTACAAAAAATTTAAAAAGATATTATTTGTAAAAGAAATTATAGTACACTTTATTATTTTGTTTTTACAGGAATGAATTAACTCATCCCCCAAGTTTATCAATTCTTCAACATTAGTTTCAACCTTGGAATTTAATTTTTTTAACATATCCTGAGTAGAAATAAATTCAGTACAAATTCCACTTTTTTACCATCTTTGATAGCCTCACAACACAATTAAATGGTGTCTTTGGATTATATTAATTTTTATCCTAGTTTAGTAAATTAGTCTTACCATTAGACATCTATGAACTCTATTACCTGTCTCATAGTGCAATATGCACACAATAGTGCAAAGATACTCTTCAAATAGCAAAGTATAGAAAAAAAAATTTTACGGGTATTCCCCGTAAACATTTCATTGATAAATAAATAATTCGTGGTAATAATTGACAATGACATATGGTAATATCCACTTTGTATTCTTGAAAACATTACAACGCTATTACAACCCAATAAACCTCTTTTAATGTTGGATTGGCATTTATATTGATCTTTTATGTAAAGTAACAAAATTATAGTACATTTTTCTAAATATGGATAGTATATAGTACGAAGCATTAAATTATAGTATAAATACTATAGTAAATTACAGTAAAATCCAACCCTGGTCATAAGTCATTACTCGTAAACTTATGAAACCAAAATGGAGCTCAAAAAAGTCAATTGAGTTGTTAATAAACACATATTTTTATACATAGTTTAACAACTGAAGTTAATGTGCCGAAAAATCGTGGAAAATAATTATATTTAGAAACCTGAATATCAATTTTTTAAACGCTTAATTTTTTCCTACATAAGATTTCGCCATTGTCCTTTGTGAACAAAATCTTTAAAATTAATGTCACGAAAGCTGTCAAATTGGAAGAGATAAAATGCCTTAAAGCGGTACTTGCCACCAATATTTTTAGTTCTTAAATTAAAAGATATACTGATAATGCTTTCAGCTATGGAACTAGTCGGCCCCAAGGGAAGAGTATTCGGGAATACTATAATTAACGCTATTTATGTATTGGGCCTGATGACTCTTGCCGGCCTATCCTGGTGGCTTCAGAGCTGGCGGCAGCTGCTTCGGGTGATTTACGCACCAGCAATGCTGGTAATCTCGTACCTTTGGATCCTGAACGAGAGCGTCAGATGGCTACTAAGCAAGCAGCGTCATGCCGAAGCGGCGAGGATCCTAAAGAAAGCCATGAAAATGAACAGGGTAGAATTATCCAACCAAGTACTTTCACCGCTTCACGAGATGAAAGAGAACTTCGACAAAAAGAGAGATCAAGCGACATTCGGACGAACCTAAAGACGCCAAGCAACAGTCGACCTTCGTGCAAGTGATAAAGTCCAGTATAATAAGGAAGCGCGTGCTAGTGTGTTCGTTCCTGTGGATAACGTGCACGTTTGTGTATTACGGTCTGTCGATCAACTCCGTGTCGTTGGCCGGCAATAAGTACGTCAACTTCATGTTAGTTGGTTTCGTCGAGATACCGGCGAACTTCGTTTGTTTGCTCGTGCTGGACCGGTTCGGTAGGAAACGCACCCTGATCACAACTTACGTGCTAAGCGCCTGCCTGTGCATCAGCCTCTCGTTGCTACCTAGAGGTAAGTCTTAAGAGTAAGTTATGGACGCTAAATATTGCGTGGCATTTTGAGTATTTAACTGAGGGTTAAAAGTTCAGTGCATGTTTTTTGAGCATCTATTTAACATAGTGTATGTCTAAAATTTTACAGGACATTGAGTGTAGTGTTTCTTACAAGACACACAGGGGGTCATGTGCAAACGGCCTCAAAAAAGGAATTTTTGTGGGACCTAATTGCGCTTTACGGGATATAGATTGTGTTACGAACACTGCGATTTATATGTAAAATTTTACAATGGTAACAGTGGAAATTTTACAATGGTAAATGAGGTTTTTTGATCATTGCATTACAAAATTACCATTTATTCGATAATATGTGGAAAAGTAAATATCAATTGCAGGCTAACGTTGGGTCATTAAATAGAATAAAGTGAATGATAAGCAATCATTCCTTAGAACTACAAGTGTGACATTATGGCCGTCAATATGATAAGAAAAAAATAATGCAATTTTTGCAATGCATCGAAATTCTAAATAATATGCAATATCATTGATTGATTAAAGGATTACTTAAAAAAAACTGTAAACAAAATGACTTTAATATGTAATCTTTATCAGAACACTTGAAACAATATATGTTTTAATATCGTTTTTGGATCTAGCCATTAATTTTACTTTCTATTAATACATAAAGTTATTCATAGAGTACGTGCAATGCGCCGTCTACAGTAAAAACCCATACATTTTCGTATCAGAAAGAATTTTACAACATAAAGTAAACATTACCTGTTTTCCAATAAATTACAAAGTCCCCAGACTCAGGGTCTGCGATAATGTTTAAATACAGTCGTTTACTACCCAGTATACAGCGCAAAGCTTGTCTCTCCATGTCCTGACACTTTTTAAATGTTGGCAAGCGAGCAGGCGTTTCACCTGATGTTCACTGAATACCACCGCCAATAGCCAACGACAACACCTGAGGACTTGCGTTGAGAACCTTTAAATTAAGCGGCTACTTCACTCACCAGACGAAATGCGAAAGTATAATACTTCCTCGTCGCTCCAGCCTTCCGTGAGGCTGCGACTACCCAGACAAGCCCGCCCATTCGTTCCCTGGACGAGCCTGCCCATTCGTGCAACAACAGACGCTGCTATGGAGCGTAACAGAGGGACACCGTTTTCTATTAGTAACGAAAATATAGCATGATTTTTACAGTGAATAATTCTACAATAAATTTTATGTTCAAGCGCTCGCTCAATTGATACGAGTTAGAACTTGTTCAATGAACCAGATTAACCTAATTACGACGGGAGTTAACAGCCTCGAGCCCCTCGATCCGAAACCGTCGACACCTTAACTTGGAGTCGACCATTAGAATTTTACGGGCCCTTGTTTGATCAACGATCATTGTTTGACAAACAACGGGAATTAATGGAATTTCCCGGGCTAAAACCGGCTTACCACCCTACCTAGTATTTGACGGAGTTCACCTTTGTAATGTACCAATGATATTAAGATTATGAAACCTTTTATTTAGAAAAACAAATGATAGACATTGTATGGCCAATTGATATTCGCGTAAAACTCAGGGTCTATTTTTTTTTAATTTCGATAACTAAGCATAAACTGAATAGATGTTGTATGATGAATTAAATAGTCATCTTCCCAAAGGCTCTTTCGCACCGTGTCGGGTTTGATCCCCGCGTTGAAGTGAAGTTTGTATGATTCACAATTAGTTCTTCTCTTATCTTCGTCTGGATGCAAAATGTGTCGTCGATTTCATACTGTGATCCTCTCCGCATCACGTATGGCGCTCTGGTATTTTTTTTTAATTTAAAAAAATGGTGGTAAATCTCAGTATTCAGAAAAGTACAAAAGGAGATGAAGATCTTCATTTGACATTAAATAACATCGATTTGATATTAAATAACAAGTACATCAACATGAGTTCTCTGATTTCTGTTAAGTATTCGAAACTTCCGAAAATATTAAATCTAATTCTTTTATTAATTAAGAACAGTATCTGTTTTCTCATATTTTACTGCTGGACAAAGATCTCCTGTTCCAAAAGTGTATATGACAAAGACCATGACCCGGTTATTGATTAGCAAATATCAACTCCAATACTTAATAAAGACGCGCAGGTTTCCTCAGTATGTTTAAACAGCTGAATGAGTATTTTGTTACCATGTAAAATTGATTTTAAGAATTTCATAAGAGTCGAAACCTGAGTGTGAACTACTCTCAATTGTACTACTCTTGATTACCACAAGCCAACCTCTTATAATTTTCGAGTGTGATCGATTTAATACCGAAAAATTCCCAAGAGTTGAACTCTACACAAACCTCATGTGAGGGCCCTTATTAGACAAACATTATATGAATATATGAATGAAGTGGTAATCGATTTTAAAATCAACTCGTACTTTACGTTTCCCGGGGCTCTCAGTAAATCCGATGTTATTACGTCGAAGGAGGGTGCTTCCATTAAGTTCATCTTGGTTGTCCTGTTATTCTTAGTGTAATTTATGGATTTAAATGCCGAAAAATAAATACTTATTCGAATTTGTTGTGACTCCTTTTACATTCTGTTTGTATTCTCAACCTAATGTAAGAATTACAATAGAAGAGTGCCCGTTTTTTATCAAAAATCAACATGGAAGGACTAATCCGGAAGACTCCCGTAGCAGCGAAAAATTTTTCGTCCATTTTTTCTACAACTTTTAATATTTCATCTTAAGTGCAAAGATAAGCACTATAAAAATTTAAAATAACAATTGTAAGATCAAGTTTAACATATCTGAACGCTTCAAAAAGTATTATTTACCTATGTTAAAAATACCGTTCCGAAAAATGTATTTCTTTAGTGATTGGAATCGTTTGAATCAAAATTTTTGAAATCAAAAATCTTGCTGTCTTCAAGTTTTCAAGTTCCGAATATCGTTCTTGAATACCTATTTTTATGTGCAGTATAATAGTTTTACCGGCAGAGCTAACGTTTTTTTCCCTAACTTTATATGTTTTAAACACCTAACAGCACTTAAAAGTAAGTTCATAAAGGTTTAACCTTTATACGGGACCATATTACTCAAACTCCGTTGACTTTCTGTCTGTCTGTCCTGTCTGTCAGCAGGATGTATCTAATGAACCGTGAAAGTCGGACAGTTGAAATTTTAGATAGGATGTATTAATGTTGTCGCTATAACAATAAATACTAAAAAACAGAATAAAAAACGATTACATACTACCCATACAATAGATATGATTTTTTTGCCGTACGTTATCTACAAAACCGGAAAAAATCATGTCTGTTGTATGGGAACCCCACTTAAATGTTTTTAATTCTGTTTTCAGTATTAGTATCGGCAACAGAAATACATTATCTGTGAAAATTTCAACTGTCTAACTATCATGAGATACAGCCTGGTGACAGACGCAGAGACAGAAAGAAAGACAGACAGACATACAGACAGCACTGTCTTAGTAATAGGGTCCCGTTTTACCCTTTGGGTATAAAACCGTAAAAATCAGGTGAACCGTCTCACCTCCCATTAGAAGAACCAATGAACTATTACGTAATCAATGAGACATTCCTAACAGATCAAAAATGGTGGTCCCTGGTGCTCTACCTCTCCGGAAAGTTCTCGATCACTGTCGCATACAGTTCAGTGTACATCTACGTGTCAGAGGTGTTCCCCACCAGTGTGCGGCAGTCGCTTCTGGCTGTTTGCTCGTCTCTGGGCCGCGTCGGCTCTACGCTCGCTCCGTTGACGCCTCTACTGGTAAGTTTTATTAAGATTTTTCAGCGTGTAGATTTTTTGATTCGCGTTTTGGTAATTACTTTATAGTGTAGATATTTCTTTGCTTTTATTTACAACTAGCGACCACCCGCCTCGGCTTCGCACGGGTGCAATGTATTATGCGTATAAACCTTCCTCTTGAATCACTCTATCTGGTAAAAAAACCGCATCAAGATCCGTTGCGTAGTTTTAAAGATCTAAGTATACATATGGATAGACAGACAGCGGGAAGACTTTGTTTTATACTAGGTAGTGATTGGCTTGAATGGCACTGGACAATGCTGTTCAGTTTTTAATATTTATGACAGACTCAAAACCCTTCGCCAGCGTTTCACAAAAGTTTCGATCACAATCGTATGAATGGTATACCGAGAAATGAATACACCCTGTGTCTTCTGTATTTTCGCTGTGGCAGGGCTACGCGGCACCTTCCACTGTTGCACAAATGGGCAGACTCATCCGGAGACGGACCCATGTTACTATCTTACAGAAGACCGCTGTGAAGTAGAAGTATTATATCTTCGCGTTTGAGGAAACCGGGGCCCACTTTTTAACTGTGGTAGGGCCACGCAACAGTGTTCTCTGTTGCACGAATGGGCAGGTCCGTCCGGCTAAGTACCACGGCCTCACAGAAGGCCGGCGTAAAGTAGAAGTGTTACACTTCTGCGCTTCGTCTGGCGAGTGAGGTAGCCGGGGCCCACTTTATATGAAGGTGGCAACGTATTTGCAACCCTTCGGGTGTTGCATATGTCCATGGGCGGCGGTTATCACTTAACGTCACGCTTGCCACTTTCTCAAATAAAAAAAAAAAACTTAAAAGGTTGGCAACACATCTACAACCCGTTGCGTTGCAGATATCAATGGGCGGCGGTAGTTACTTAACATCACATGAACTAATAACTCGATTTAAATGTTCACATAAAATATAATCTTGTTGTTCAAATGTATGGAAATCCCACAGGCTTTATATTACGACAACCTGCCGGCGATATTCTTCGGCAGTCTGGCACTGGTCGCCAGCGCCCTGGTGTTCACCCTCCCGGAAACCATCAACGTACCCCTTCCCGACACGGTGGAGGAAGCGGAGAGACTATCACGAAGAAAGCACAAGGAAGAATTCGCATAGCACTAATTTAGAATTATTAATGGTTAATTTTCATTTCTGCGTCACCACATTCGTGGATTACACACTGATACGTGACGTATCATTCATTTTCCGCTCGCGGCAGGTTACGAGAAAATTTAAAAAAAGTATTTAGAAAATATACAGGAACTGAGAATTTCATAATAATTTTTTTTTTTAAAGTAACAGTAAAACTTTACCTTAAATTTTACCCCTCCAGTTCCAGCTGAAAGCACGACTGTTTAAATAACTTCATTGTCGCCCATATGGCCGGCTTCTTTTATCAAGTTGTGATTTACTTATTATAAAAAAAAAATAAAATAAGGTGTCGAAAAGTTTTTTTGCTTTAATTAAATATATACAATGTGCGGATATTTTTTATATAATTTTACAGTATATAGAAGATATAAGGCTACGTGTGTGTGTTCGTGTTGTGATAGCCTGTGATTTTTTTAATTGTTTGCCCTTAGGTTAGGAATTTGCAGTTACCATCCAAAGAAATGTTTACGTGTAATTATGAGCATGTACTATTGAATTTTTACTAAGAAACATATATTTCGTTTTTGAATTTAATAAATAGACTAGTTAGTTTGCCTTAAGATTTAGAATATTCATTAAATACTTCTGTATATTTGAAAATTTAATACGGAACAAATAAGTTTCGCATGATGCAATGATATGAATAATATTATGAATAATGATATTTAAAAGATCATATAATTGTGTACATTATAATACCGAGTGAATCCATTCATAATATTGAACTCTTCCAGGACTAATTAAAGTGAGTTTTTGTCATATTAAATAGCTCTTATAATAACGTTCTAACGCTTCATGTATATACGGATAATTAAAAATAATCTAATTTATTTTAAATAGGTTCTGAGTTTAATTAATATCCCACTTTAATTACGCACAATAAAACAAAATTAACCACAAATTAAAATTAAATCCAAAAGGAACTGCAATGGAGGTCATTAATTAGCGGTAAAATATTACGATGAATATTTAATAGACGCCTGGTAATTTATACTAGCAACGCGTTTCTTGCTGTAATAATAAATCTTATGAATACAGAAAGAAAACTACACTTAGCTGAAAGTCGCCTAGAACTTTGAGATTAAGACTTATTTTGCGTTTAGAGATTACGAGTTAAAACATAATTATGGGCACAAGTTTTCGGTTTAACGAATTTCTTACCACCCGAACATTTTTTTTTCTACCCTTCAAACAATTTATATGGCAGAACAACGTTTGGCGGCTCAGCTAGTAATAATATTGAAAAGTGAAAATGAATGAAGAAAAAATGTCTAATATGTTATACTGAAAATATCCAAATACAAGGCGATGAAACACTATGAGCCAGTTACCTTGTTTGAAAACCCATGATTGATTAACTCATCGGATTTGTTTGAACGCAAATATTAATTTCGATCCCTCACACCGCAAGCAATACCTGTACCTTGTTTGTCTTAAATGTTTACGTTACAATTACGAGTCATCATTAACAAACTTGAACGAATTTAACTTGTGTTTGTATCTATTTAAAAAGTGATTAATAATATTATTAACACTGCTCTAATTTTAATACCTGAATGTTGTTGAACATTGTGAAGCGGAATCAATTAACCGGATTAAAATAATTTTCAGATTTTATTTCAAGGTCAATCCTTGAAATTGCATGATAATATAGTTAGCTTTTTCATCGGCAAAATAAATATTTTTTTCTTTTACAAAATGCACACTGCTCAAGTCATTTAAAAAAATAGAAACAGACTTGGACCTAGGATACTGCGAAGAGGAGTGTTAGTATTGCGATTCGCACTCTCCCTTCTATCGCCGCTCAGCGTTGCAGTTGCAGTTGCAGTGGTGGAAACCTTGTTGCAGGGGGAGAGAATTGTTGTAGTTACGATGCCTTTAGGGCGCAGTCATATGTCATTTGTTAGCACTGACTCCCGTGGCAAATTAATTATTATCAGAATACTACTACCCTTTCGTAAAAGAAAAGCCACTAAACTGAGAAGAACCGGCGAAAGAAACTCAGCGGAATAATTTCTTTCTTACAATTTTTTGACAGTAAGAACATAACAGCCTTTAATATCTATAATCCCAAACGTTCTTTCGCAAGTTTTTTTTTTTTTTTTTAATTTAGCAAGTGATACATTTTGAACGTTTTCCCGGGGCTTCTGGGCAGGAGCCTCAAGTTTTTAAAGGCATAGCCTGGGTACTACTATGCCGAGGGTCGTGAACTAATGAATTCGTTTTTCGTTTGTCATAAAATAGTAACTGTCTCACATCCCGCTCACCATCCCAAATTTTCCCGAGTTAATGACCTCAGCGAATAACAGAATGTACAGATATCTGCCCTTTAATTTTATAAGAAGTGAAAGCTTGTCGTATTTAAGGGCAGCTCCTGTCCAGGGACTCTGCGTATGTGAAAAATACTACGACGTATTTAAACGACAAAAGTTGCTAAAACCATTCCTCACTAAGTCGTTTTGCTTTCCGTGGAGTCCGGTCGCAAATAGCTTTGCAGTTTCGGAGTTGTCGATAACAAAAAAACCACATCGCGTGACCTGATGTCTGAAGCATAAAAAACTGTAGAATGAAACATTCGAGTATCGTGTCGTGTAGATAGACTACGGCATCACCGGGTATATTACAGTGATCTCAAAAAAGTCAAACTGCAACAATGTTAAAATTATAGAAAGACCCAAACCCGTGGGTTCTGGCTAGCCCACCGGTTCTGCGTCAGATGGAACTTTAATAGTCTCGGGACTGAAAGCAAAAACATCAGTTAATACAAGATACAAGAATTATAGTAAGTACTCGGAGGACCGAGCTTTGCTCGGTTTGTTTTTTTTTTGGTAAATCGTGTGTTTTGTAAATTACAAATCGACAAAAAAAAATTAAAAATAAAGAAAGCAATGATCTGGAATCGAAAAAAAGTAAAAAAAGAGTGTGTAAATGATCGTGATACGAACCACGGCCGTCTGTTTTGGGGCCGCCCGATTACCGACCGAGCTATTATGACATTTTCTTTTGCGGCGAAATTTACCGTCATATTCGAATGATATTTTTCATTCCCTGAAAACAGGGATAAAAGGACATTTTCTAAAAATGAAACCTAGCTAGATCGATTTTGCGCCCCCGAATCTACGCACATACTAAATTTCATGAAAATCGCTGGAGCCGTTTCCGAGATTCCGATTATACATATATATATATATAATCGGAATCTCGTTTAAAGGATAAGATTTATTAAAATGTCAACGAAGAATATTTCTGTTGCACACCGTTCTGTATGCATGTAACGCACAAACGCATGTCATTTGAAATATTTGTGCTGATTGTAAAGATTTAACATGAATTTCTCTTTCTACACAGTTAAGTATCCTGAAAGCTTATATTTGTTAGCCATCAGTGCTGTTTTTTTTATATTTTTACATTTAACAATTTCAATTTTTATAGTGCTAATCTCTGCATTTAAGATTAAACATAAAAATTTGTTGAAAGAGTACGAAAAGATTTCGACTGTGTGGCAATCAGCCGTTTGGCAATCAGTGGCTAAAGCGTCAGGCCGCGAATGCGGAAGATGTGGGTTCGATTCCCACAGCGGCGAAAATTTTTTTTGGTACTTTTTCTACAAACATTAATACTTTTAAATCTAATAGTCGTTCACATATATTCGAAATATTTTGTTTTTATTTATAAAATGTGCCGGTTTCCTCACGATGTTTTCCTTTCCGCTGAGCACGTGATAAATCTGCACTTATAATTAACAATATCATTGTAGTGATGTTGTTTTATGTTTTATGTGTAGTCACGAAGATCGAACTCAGGCTGCTCGAGGACAATGAGCTAACTTTATACGAGTGCATACCGGTACAAAAACCAAAAAAAAAACTCATTGTACTCGAATAACCTAAGCTTGTAAATTTTGAAGCCTAACCTAGATTTTAACTCAGATCGCTCGTGTATAATTAAATTGAAAGAGAGTCGAGCACTCTCTTTCAATTTAATTATACACTGAGCTTTCTCAGCTGCCTAATTCAATGTGAAGCTTGCCAATCGGCAGTGGGATCGCGTTGCCCAACTGTGGGGCTCAGTATAGGTAATTATTTTAATTACTTCATTTACGGTGCAGCACCCAGTCGAATGAGGAATTTAACATCAGTGACGAGAAGTGTGCAATTTGTAATTCTTTTTTTTTTAAATTCACAAATTTGTGTATTAGATTTTACGAATATATTTTACAAAACAACATCGATTCCTTTGTAAGAATAACCCAAGATGCTATTGAAATAAAGAACTTCCCTAATTTCAAGATGGCCGACCATTATCATTATCATTACCAGCTTCGAATCATAATATTCATAACATTAAATGTTTGGATTTAATTCTACAAATAGTTACTGCGTTTGTACAAAAACGGTACAATGCCACAAAATTCTGTATTCTGTGTTGATTTGTAATTTTTAGTCTGCGTAAATAATTAAATAATCCCAAAAGGCAACGGTGCCTTGGCTTATCTCGTGACCAAGTTGAGTTTAAAGTTTTCGACTCCTGGGAAGTTTAAACCATAATTAAAGGCGATGAAATCCGTTTTACCTTCTTCGTTCATATTTTTAAATTGTTAAATTATTTAAACATTTGATTACATGAAATTATCTTTTATTAATAGTTACGATACCTACCGTGTTTATTAATATTATACACACCTATTTTATAAAATTTAAGTTTTTTTTATAGTGCTAATCTCTGCACTTAAGATTGACATTAAAACATATAGAAAAAGTACAAAAAGATTGTCGCCGCTGTGGGAATCGAACCCACGTCTTCGGGATTCGCGGCCTGACGCTCTAGCCTCTAAGCTAAACGGCTGCTTGCTACACCGACGAAAATCTTAACGCCTTCTTTTTACGTTGTTATTTAGCATCTGAAGCAATGCTTGGCGCATATATGTCTTTACTAGAAAATATTAGTCGCCGTAACCTCAT